TACAAAAAGGATTAGGTCTTTGTTTGTTCCTTCCCACCCCCTCCACTACCACCTCCCCATGCACTGAGGGCAAGGTGTACATTGTGTTGCAACACACCCTTGCAACTTTCCTTGTGTGTTAAAATGAACATAAACCAATGCATCCAAGTCTGAAAGAAAACAAAAGACCCCTACAAAATGATGGGAAGAGAACTCCTTCCCAGCAGCTAGGGGGCAGGAATAAGTGAAGACTTTTGCCTTGCTCATCACTTCAAGTATAGCAAAGAAGTAACAAAGTTCCTGAGCTTGGCGTTCTGTTTCACCAAGGCGAGTGAAACTGAACTAGACACCGTAACATAGTAGCAAAAATGTTCTTTTTACCACAGAACACTACCGAATTCCTCGATTCACCGAAGTGAGCAAGTAAACATAGTTTGTATTTCCAAATGATGCAAATAGCCAAATCTTTGAAGATTTGAGAGAGACTCAAACATACTCTTCTGGGATACGAGTTTTGAAATTAGTGGTACGTTTTTACAGCTACTTTCTGAAACTGGTAGCCTAAGAGTGCTTAAAGATTTATGTTTTAACTAAAAGCAACCCTGTTAGCGCAGTGCAAATAATTAAAGTGCTAAACTATTTTAAGTACACACACTACCCAAACTTAACACACAACAACAAAATCCTATTTAAGAGAGGACTAAGAAGTTGCATAACTAAAATTCAAAGAACAGGTCTCAGGAAAAGCAGGTTTACCCTCCATGTACACTGTCTTCACAATTCCACCGCCTGGCTTGCTTGCCACAATGCATTTTACTTGCAGTCTGCAGTCTGAGAGTGAGTTGGCAACATGCAAAAATCTCATATTTATTGTTTGTTTGAATAGCTCACATATGTAAACATTTTTCTGTAAAACTTCTCCCTGTTTTTGATTGCACCCTTTTGTTTTTAAGATAGTTTTCCCTCAAAGACACTTTAAAAGTCTTTGTCCAAAATAATTTAGCTGGGTGGGTTTAATGCACCCACAATTTATAGTCAAAATTCCTTCCATGAAGATTATAGCCATCTGGTATCAAAACTATACAATCTCACATTTTAAAAGATGAATACAAAACACTTTCAAGTATTACACATGCCTTTAAGTCAAAGCCCCACCAAACTGAGATCCAATCACATTTTCTTACTCTTCGGCTAAATGAGTGGGAGGGGAGTGGAGGAAGGGAAGGGAAAATAAAAGCTCCACGCAAACTGATGAAACGGGCTACAGAGGAAATAATGAAAGTGACTATAAATGTGAAGTGCCCTCAAGTGCAGGAAGTAAACAAATAAAAAAAATGTTGTTGCAGTACTTATAAACATTTATGAATGAAAATGTAGAGAACTAGGATTGAAACATTTGAAACAAAAAACTGAACTGCTGTTAATTTAACTGTAGGCTTAGAACAATTAGTATAATACTGTTAAAAGACTTGGATTTTGTACTTACTGTAAACTAAAAGCTAAAAACTGTGCTAGTCATGCCACACACTGATTCTTATTGTAAATGCTTCATTGGCATAAGCAAACACTGTCAAAGGAGGTGTTACTTTGACACATCCACAACATGTATATAGTAATGGAAAAATATTTACCAAATCTCTTGCTTTTATTCCATTTTAATACCCTCAGAACCTTTTAAATAAGTTTCGTTATTGGCCAAGCTTTCTCATTTTATATATATATATATGACGAAGTAATCACGTCCAAAATTGACATGCTTTAATAACCAAGTTAAAAGTAAACCAAGCCCCTTATCTAACAAATTACCAAGAAGATGCATTTTAACAGACTCAGTATATACCATGACTCAAGGAAAAATAAAGATACCTACCATCAAGGAGGAAATCAGCCTATATTTTACAAGACTGAGTTATTAGGACAGATGACAAGCCTAGCACTTGAGGTGTCAATATCTGGGGCATATTTGACAGACTAAGAACAGAAGTCAGAGCAAACAGCTTATTAATGAGAGCTGTACAAGTATTGCTTTTATATTCTCCTTAATAAAAGAAGCCTGTAGATTAATTTTCCATAGGATAGCCTATCAGGCAACTCATCTTTAAGATCTTTTTCCAGTTTATTTCAAAATGTGGCAAAGAAAAGGCAATCTGAGTTACACTTGGCAAATACTAGGTACTGCTTTGAATGAAAAAATTCCTCTCCTTAAAGGATGTAGATGGTATGCCCCTCTTCTAATAACTGGGCACAGAAGTGCTGTAGGTATTACTGAGAAGAAGTTGAAGGGTTAACAACTTCAGGATAGAAGATATGGATACATCTTTACACAATTATAAAATGCCTTCAATAAAAGCTGGGCTTCAATTTAAATTAAATATTACCCAGGTTAATTTTTCCACCCTCCAAAAAAGTGTACACTCAATGGAATTTTACAGCTTCTTCAGTCCAATTATGACATCACTCGGCATCATTCAATTACATTATTCTTCTATATTCTCCCGTCAGATTTAAAACTACTTTTGATGTATGTATATTAATCTTGAAACATAAAACACTGACATCCCAGAGTCCAGATGCCACCATTTTACTTAATGAACATACTTCCTGTGTACTTACTTAAGTATATACTAAGCACAATATTGCTTCCTCAAACAAGAGACTAATATATATGCACTCAACAGCAAAAAAGAACAAATACCAAAAGACCATAAAGAAAATGGGACAAAACAAAACACCTGTCACCATCCTAAAAAAAAAATCAAGTCATCAAGAAGATAAATTTGTCCTTCCCTATTCCTAAGAGTTAAATGGGCTAAATGAACCCAATAATCCTGAGTTAAGGAAAAACAAACAAACCAACCAACCACACATCCCTCCTGTCTCATTAAGACTGCACTGAAAGAAGAACTGGAGACAAAAGAGAGTTAACAACTTTATTTCTTCCACTTCTGGTCTGAATGAATCTTTCCATTTTTAATGGGGGGGGGTTTGCCCCCTAGCATATTCAGTGCCATTTAATTCTGTCTTCTGTTAGCCATCTCTAACACTAGCAGCCCTTCCTCGCCTCAGACTATGAATTCTTTGGGAGAGTGATCAAATCTTCATGGGCAGTATCCAAATGCATATCAACAGGGCCCTAATCCCATCAAGGATTTCCAGACACAATTAATATTAAACAATAGCAGGTTTAAATGGCTGTTGCCAAGGCTGCTACATTCTGTGCAGACAGGAGCCTTGGAAATTGACATGGCTCCCCTACAGAGTCTCCAAGAACCCAACACATGCACACGCATGCGTGCATACACACACACGCACCCCCCCCCCAACCTGTTTGAAACAGCAAGGGTGCAAAGCTATTTGTTAATTTGGTTGTTTGGTTGGTTTTTAATAATATAATAGTTATTACTCAGGCACTCTGCACAGTACAGGCACATTGGCTGCAAAGGAACAGAGCAACAGTGACACTGGATTCAACACGCAGCAAGTGTCAGGGAAGGGAAGAGGAAAGGGACAATAAACAATGGAGAACACGGGAAGGAAGCACAGAGGTTCGGACCAACCTCTAAATTAATCCATTTCAAAATTAACCCCTTCCCCACTACAACCCAATCGCCTGAAGTGGCTGATAGCTGCTAGAGGCCAAAACCTTCCACAGAGCACATGGTCACAGGTGGTTCAAACCTGAATAAGACAAAACCTGAAAAAAAAAAAGAACCTGAGACAGAAGAAAGAGCAAGGCTTGTAAGACATACCTAAAAATACATACTTATTTCACTGTATTTAAGAGGAAACAAAGTATAGCTGATGCACGTAAGACTCAAGAGTATTTTTGTCAGTCCCTGTCCACGTGGCTACGTGTAACATACGCACCCCCTTACTTATTACTACACAAATACAACATACTCAAGCAACATAGTTACAGAGCACAATCAGTACAACCCAGTCCAATCAAGGGCAGCAGCATGAGAATTTTAAAGAGAGCAGCTGTGTGCTGCCACTTGAGAAACAATCCTTCTCACATAAAAGTATTAAAACTGTGCATACAATATTATACTTCATTTTGTGACATAGTTGCATGGCAGCTGCTAGTTAACATATACTAAAGGGATATATAGCCTATTTGCAAAGCCAACATGTTCTTACCTCTCATCCTCACCATCAACAAGGTGTGTTGTCAGCGGCAGTACCTTCAGAGGAAAAAGGGAAGCAGAGGACGTTATGCTGCTGCCACTCCCATCTGAAAGAGCTGGTGCTCCAACACCACTTTCACCACTAGCAGCTTGAGGTAAACCAACTAAGGAAGGTTCCGTAGGGCGCCTGCCATCTTCAATCTGGCTTACAATTGACTGAGTTAGTGACTGTACAGGGAACTGGGTGGAGCTTAGTGGTACCTGTTGCGGCACACTTGGTGCTACTGGCATACCTATACTTGTTGATATCACGGAAGGCTGAGCAACACTCTGAACCAAATTCCCATTTTGTACAGTTGAAGCTTGTGCTATATTGTGTGGTGGACCCATACTTATAGAAGCAGAAGGTATACCAGGAGGGATATTTGAACTAGGTTGGCTTGGAGCAGGAACAGTGCTAGCAGAAGGTATAGGACTAACTGCAGGCAACTGCTGGCTGGTCATTCCTTGTGCTACAGATTCTAAGGCCTGTGCCTGTGGTTGTACAGGTAACAAAGTACTTTGCTGAGCAATGACCATTTGCTGAGGAAGGCTTGGGCCACCAGCCTGTAGTCCTTGCTGCATTATCCCAGTCTGAACAGGCTGCACCACTTGTGAAGCTGGAGGAGCAGTGCTTGGTTGCATAACTGGAGGAGGAATTTGGTTTGCACCAGGTGCCTGCTGTACAACTGTAGGTACGCTTCCTTGTTGTCCAACATTCAGAATCTGACCACTAGGACCTACCGCTGGCATTACTGTTTGAGCATGTGCAACAGGCTGGGCTGGTGTCACGGCAGGGTGTGCTTGTACTGAAGGCTGCATGCTTGGTGCCTGAGCAACAGGAACTGGTGTGCCTGTTCCTACTGCTGTAGTACCAGACTGCATGGCAGGTGCTGAAGTCTGAAGCATCTGTTGGTGTTGCATGTAGTCTGGCATAGTCCCTGTAACAGAGTTTTGACTCACTTGTTTAACAACCCCCGGGGCCATCTGTGTAGGAACTGCCTGTTGTTGCTGCTGTTGTTGTCCATACTGTAGTTGCTGCTGTTGTACAACTGGCAAAGTTTGCACAGGTTGTGCTGGCTGAGAATATGGTAGCTGCTGTTGAGCCATACTCTGCATGGCAGGTTGTTGGTGGCCTAAAGCTGAAGATACACCTACTATATTAACTGGGGTTGACTGAACTCCAGTAACAGTGGTTAGGCTGGCCGACGCAGGAGGCTGGACCCCTTGCTTTTGCTGCGAATAGTTTACTTCTTGGGCATGCAGCTGGACTTGAGCAAGCTGTGACTGAGAAACACTCTGTGGTATACTGGATGCTGGAATAGGCTGAGGACCAGCACTGCTAAAATCCATCTGCTGCGGACCCACACCCTGAAATGCTTGCTGTTGTACCACAGTAGATGCTCCCATTTCTCCACTTCCCACACTTTCTGTGTAGTGACTCAGTGTGCTTACACTGCTGCTAACAGAACTCCCACTGGTGCTCTCCCTTTCAGAAGTCACTTCAAGTGGGTTTTGTTTTATAGTCTCTACTGCTTTGTTTACTGCTACTCCTTCTGTAACTGCAACAGTGTTGTCTTTATCATAGAATTCGGTGCATGTCCATCTCCCCTTTTTAAAAGGTTCGGAGCTGGAATCTAATTTTACAACTCTAAACCTTGACGTGCCAGCTGCAGGCTGCTGCTGACTTGATCCCAATCCTGCTGTTGGATTAGTAACATTGTTAATGACATTAGAGGAAGCACTCGTACCATTGCCAATACCACTCAAGATATTAACATTAACACTGCTGCCAGTTCCAGACAAAGCATTTACATTACCAGTACCTGGGATGTTTAAATTTACAGTACCAAGCATGCCGCTCGTCACACCAGAGCTACCACCACCCATATTACTTAACGTACTAGTTCCGGTAACAGGACTTACACCTATACTGCCAGAAGTACTTGTAGTGCGGATATTGGACATGACAGATGCCGGGCTACCAGTGGATGATGCAGCAGAAACTGGTGCAGTTGTTATAACATTGTCAGAGCTTCCAGTTGTGGACAGTTTTCTAAAGGATGGACTGGGAGGTGGTCCTCCAGAGGCTGGTGTGCTGCCCGCTCCAGAAGGAGATGGATGGTGATGGCCATGGTGATGGAGGGGATGGTGGTGGTGAACGTGATGTGGGTGAACACTCCCATTGATCACAACGCTCTGCTGGGCGGGGTGAGGCAAAGGAGGGTGCTGCTGAGAAAGGTGAGGCTGGTTTGGAGAGACAGCCCCGGGAGTCTCAGCCTCCTGGAAGTTGTTTAAGGTCTCTTCAGAGGAGCTCCGTTCAGGTTCCCCCAAGTCAGTGGCCCTGGAGAGCGAAACATCCAGGATTTCGGAAGACGACAGGTCTTCCGTGTGGGACTCATCCAGATCATCGTAGCTTTCCGTGTCCTCGGCTATGCTGTTGTTGGAGCTGATGCTGGCCGAAATCTGGGCTGGGGTCACGCTAGTGATCTGGAAGCCGCTTTTCTTCTTCATTTGTGCTCCGGCCTGGCCCAGAGGCTGCTGCGGGAGCGGCGCCTGCGGGAGGAAGTTCAGGCTCTGTGGAGGAGGGGGTGCCGGCTGGGGACCCGGCGAGGCGGATGCTGCTGCGGGAGACGCGGGCAGCAGCGGCTGGCCCAGCAGGGGTGGCTGATACTCCTCAGCAGAGAGGGCAGCACCGCCGGCACTGGGAGGGGGGCCGCCGCCGCCAGTGGTGCTGGTGCTGCTGCTGCCCCTTCGAGGGAACATCGCCGGGTGCGCCATCTTCCCCCTCGCACTGCTGCTGCTGCTGCTGCTGCTGTCTGCGGCTGAGTCAGGCTGGCGCATTGTAGCGGGGTTATTTTAGGAGCGCGGTTCCCCGGCAGAGACACCGAGACGGAGAGACACAGACAGGCACGCAGTTAGCTTGGCACGGGGCGCACCGCGCACGCACACCCCCCCCCTCCCCCACGCCCCCACCCCCTCCCCGCGCGCG